CCCTCTCCCAGATCCCCACCTACCCCCCCACCCCCTCTACTCCCCATAGAGGGTAAGGCCCTCCATGGGGGCTCTGCAAAGTTCACCACATCATCCTGGGCCAGGCCTAGGCCCTCCCCCATGTGTCCAGGCCAAGAGAGCATCCCTTCACATGGGATGGGCTCTCGAAGTCCCTTCTTACACCAGGGAAAAATACTGATCCAGTACCAGAGGCCCCATAGGGTGCCGAGGCCTCCTCGTTGACATCCGCTTTCAGGGGTCTGGATCAGTCCCATGATGACCTCCCAGACAGCAGACTGGGATCCATGTGCTCCCCTTGTTCAGGTCAGCTGTTTCTGTGGGATTCACCAGCCTGGTCTCCACCGCCTTGGTCTTCATTTCTCCCTCTCTGCAACTGGGTTCCAGAGTTCAGTTCAGTGTATAGCTGTGGGTGTCTGCCCCTGCTGCCATCAGCCACTGGATGAGGGCTCTAGGATGGCATATAAAGTAGTCATCAGTCTCATTACAGACTAACCATCATTTTATACAGACAGTATTAGTGTGTGTTTTTCTCTCATTTTTTACCAGACTCTGCCACTGTTGCTTGTTATAATTCATATAGTCCAGCTGTGATCTTTTTCCATCTACATTTAGTGGTGAGACATAGTGTTCAATTCTCCAAGTTTTTGTTTGTTTGAGAATTTTTTTCATCTTCATTTAAGAAGATAGTTTGACAGGGTATAGAATTTTGAGGGTACAGGTTTTATTCTATTGTCTGTTAGCCTCTGTTTTATTATAGTACTTAAGGAATTAGCAACTGGGATCTTATTTCTGTGGGTACACAGACTTTCCCCTCGGTGTTTGTAATGTCTTCTTTGTCTGTGTGTGAATTCATGCACATGTGTGTGTGTCCCTCTTCCTTATTGTGTTTTCATTTCTCATTCACCAAGGGTTCTCTGGGATCTCAAGCATCTTGCAATGATTCTAGAGAACTTTAACAATGTCTCTTCAGATGTCCTATCTTTTTCCATTCTTTTAGTTCCTTTGGGAACTTTAGACCATTTCAACTAAATCCTCATGTTTTGTTTTTAAACTTTTACCTGGACTTTCTATTTCCTAGTCTCTCTCTATCACCAGCGAACTTCCTTACAGTTTTTTCACTAATTTTGTTTTCAGCTGTATCCAACCTACTGGTTTAGTGTGTCCAGAGATGGATGGGTGGATAGATGGATGGATAGATGAATTTGTTTCATATTTTGCCTTTATTTGTGTCTCTGTACTACTTGTGTGCAGTGCCTGTAGAGGCCAGAAGAGGGTGTCAGGTCCTGTGGAACTGGAGTTACAGACGGTTGTGAGCCACCATGTGGGTGCTGGGAATCAAAGGTCCCCTGGAATAGCAGCAAGTACTCTTAACCACTGAGCCATCTTCTGCCCTGTATCCAGAGATTTGAATTTCAGTTATTCTGTTCATAGTCATACATCCCGCCCTGACCATTTCTCTTCTTCTCGGAGCTTCATCTTGTATCATCAAGAGCCTCACCTCCATATGTAAGAATCCTCCCAGCTACAAGGTTCAAGGTCTTTCCCACACATCCTGTAATCAGCCACCCTTTGAGCATCATCTAGCCCAGGTGAAGGGCAGAGACAGAGGAGAACAAGAGTGGCAATGGTACTACCAGTAAGCTCAAAACCAGCCGAGCATGGCTTTCCGTGGACCTGGGCATCTGGGATATAATCTGGAAAAGGCAATTCAGAGTTTCAGATGTCCTGAATTCCTCCTCCCAGTAAGGACACAGCCAGGGGAGGACCACTCTAAAATACCCGGGCCAGAACAGGTTCCAGTGTGGCCAGATCTCATACTGTTACAGGTGAAGTGAAAAGTAAAAGGGTCATGCACTTGAAAAATCTGAGTTTGATCTGGCTTTCCATTTCATAAGCTCAGCATCCTCATCTGTGAAATGGAGCTGATGTCCAGCTTGCTGTGGTCACTAAGCAATAATAAGACTCATAATCATTTGCTCATTCAACAGAAATTCACTAGGCACTTCCTAACACACACACACACGCCTGTCTTCATGATGCCTCTATTACAGACAGGGAATAACAACAAGTGGGATCGAGATGTTAATGAGAAGGAAGGGGGCCTGGAAAGTGAAGAACTTGGAGGGGGTGTGAGATGTCAGATGGTGGGCAGGATGCTGGAGACGGTTTACTGAGTAAGTGACCTTTGGTCAAGGAGCAGGCCACCCTGACATAGGAGGGGGAGGGTAAAACGGATGGTACCCTAGAAGGATGATGAGTGCGTTAGAGGAGTGTCAAAGAGGCCAGCGCTGCTGGGGTGGAGGGAACGGGCGAAGCAGGGAGCAAGAGGCAAGGCAGCAATGGCAGATGCAGCAATGCAGCTGATGTTTCCACAAGTTCACGCTAGCTACTCTATGGGGGCAGGGGGCAGCACTTAAGAAAGAGCAGGGATAGTAGGGTTCCCTGCTATCCTTGCTCTTCCTCAAGTGCCCACCTAAGACAGGGTGGGGACAGTCCTTGTGGATGGTGAGACCAACCCAGGGTCTGTTTTGGAGTAGGCATGACTGATTTCCTGCCAAAGAGGCACAGAAGCACAGTTGCTATAGTTGAACAGCCAGAGTGAGGAAGCACAGTTGTTATACTTGAGCAGCCAGAGGCAGAAAGGGCTGACAGAGGAGACACATAAAAGCAACTAATTGGAATGTAAAGTGGCAGTTTGGACTCCCAGGCTTCCATTAGCTCAGGGATGCTCCTCCATTTAGGGCTAAAGAGCTGAGAAAGAACTAGCAGAATAGTGATCAAGAAGATTGGGGCCAGGGGTGTGCTCTTGTGGGAGAGATGGAGCTATTTCAAGGATAACTGAATTAGCTGGACTGAGAGCAATGTGAATGTGTCTGACAGTCAAGAAGTCTGGTCATAGGCCATAGGTCACATGCCATCAGTGACTGTTTACAGCAATGGTCCCTGAGGATTGTGTTGCCTAGTGATGCTGTGGACATCTTGCTTTAGTCCACACTACCATCTTCACGAAACTCAGTTAAGGACACGGTTCTCAACATGCCTGTTCTTGCCCAAGGCATGGCTAAACTAAGTACCTGCCAGTATTCAGTCCCCACTAAATGAACAAATGAATGAGCAAGAAAGCCATGGTCCCTGCCCTCTGCAAGTTCTGTGCTGTATCATGCTTGTCCAGTACACAGGCTTGTTTCAGTGTGGGGGCAAATGCTTCTCACAGCGCCGCCTGGTGGAAAGCACATGAGTGAACACGTTCCCCTTGCATCCTCCAGACACGAGCATGACCCCAGCTTTAACTTCTCACTATGCCATTTCCCTCCCATCCTTGCTTCAGCCCCAACCTCTGCCCTCAGCTTCAGAATCTTATCCAACTTCTACACCCTTTTACCCCTAAATTTTCACTCTATGGAAGTTCACAGTATACATCCAAAATCCATTTTTATCATTTCTGCTTTCCTTGTGTTCTTTCCCTGCTGGAAATTCAAACTCATGTTAAAGACATTACTATCAAAACAATGAAACCCAGGTATAAATATCCCAGAAGCCCAATAAATATGTACATAAATATGTAACTTTAATATACAAGTGGTGTTATGAATCAGTGCTAGGCTAGCCAGTTATGCCTTTGAGAAATGGAAAGCCATTTACATTTTTTAGAATGTGTGTGCGTGTGTGTGTGTGTGTCTATGCCTGCAGAGGCTGGAAGAGTACATCAGATCCCCTGGAGCTGAAGTTACAGGCAGGCTGATCCTCCTAACCACGGTATGGGGAATTGAACCTAGGTCCTCTGGAAGAACAGGACATGCTCTCAACCTCAGAGCCATCTCGCCAGACCCCAGAGTCTCACTAATTAGCCTTTCTCATCATGGACCCAAGATAGGTTAAAAACTTAAATGTAAGTCAATCAGATTGTTAAAAATCTACAAACAAATACACATAATTGAAGTTCAGTGGCTCAGAGGGGCCATTTTAAGCAAAAGTCAACAGAGTCTAACTTGCTCAGCCTGTTCTCCACCCCTGGTGTCCCAATTCTCCACAGAGCCCAGAAACCTCAATGTCATTGATGCCTTCCCCCCACTCAACCACTGAACTCTGCTGGCTCAGTCTGTTAACCTTTCCCTAGCCACCCCTTTCTATGTGTCTACTGCCCCTGCTGCATAGTACCCCTATCACCCCCAGCGTCACACATCCCCTGCTGAGCAATTCCCCTGCCTCAAGACTGCCCTGCCTTCCACACAGCTGCCAGGGAGATCTTCCCACAGTGCACGTCTGACTCTTCATAAAGATTCCCAGGGGCTCCTGTTGTCTCCCATCTGCAGTCTAAACCTTGTGTGAGGCTCTCGGTAACCCAGAGAAGCCTTGATCTTCTCTGACAGTGCTGTCCCTCCAGCCTTCCTGCAGAAGTCCTATGTGCTGGGCAGATAGATATGCTGCAGGACAACACCGCTTGCTGGAAAGTAGCAACATGGAGCCCATCACAGAGGGACTCCCATACAGCCTTCGAGTGCGTCTTCCCCTGTATCACTCAACCTCCCTGTCTGGGACCCCCATCCACAGATGACTCATCCCTGTGCGCAGTGGCCAGGCCCAAACCACTTTGGGGCCTATGAAAAGATTCTACTTTGTATTAATATGAGAAGAAAATGAATACAGCAATAATGATTATATGATGGTGAATCCAGCCTGGATTATATTCCTGTCTGTTAGTGTAACCATCAAATACATGAATATATATGTATATATGTATTCATTATGGTACGTACGGATGCTTGTACGCCTGTATAGCATACGTGTGAAAGTCAGAAGGCAACTTGCAGGAGTTTGTTCCTTCCTTCCACCATGTGGGTTCTGGGGATCCAATGTTGATCATCTGCCTTGGCAGCAAGCACTCTTACTCACTGAGCCATATTGCTAGCCCTGTTTTTATTGTTTTTTTATTTTTACTTATAATTCTGTATATGTGTATACACAGGAGGCATGTTCATGTGTGGGCGAGCGTCTGTGGAGGCCAGAGACTTTGGAGCTCCCTGGAGCTGGAGTTACAGGTCATTTGGGAGCCACCCAATGTGGGTGCTGGGAACCTAACTCGGGTCCTGTGAAAAAGTCACCAGCCCTATTTTCATCATTTCTAATGAAGGAAGAGACCCATAAAGGCAAAGTGCCCAAGGCCCACATAACAGAATCTGCTATGGCCCTGTCGTGCCTTCTGGATGAGGTGTTCACACTTTAATTCTCACGCAGCTTTCATTTCATGCTTGTTTCTGCACGGCTGCAAGATGCTGGCTGTGTTTCCAGCTGTCATCTCTACATTCTCAGAAAAGGGAAGGTCACATGCATGTGTCTCAACCTGTCAAGAAAGCACACAGCTTCATAGACTTCCACATCTATCTGCCTAGCTGCCAGACTGAGGAATTGAGTAGATAGCATTCTGCCTCTACAGTAGAGTGCCAAATGCTGGATTCTCAAGGCATGAAGGCCCATACGATTGAAGCCTATCCCACCCTTGTTGGCCCATCCCCTGGTCACCTCTGACTCCCACACAGTGCTCCAGCAATCCATATCCTTGGGATTCCCCCACCATTTGGCACTCTCTCTTACAGCCATACACTGCTCAGGCTCTTCCTGCCACATGCAGCTTCCTCCATCCTGTGTGGTCCTGACTCAGGAAAGATTTCTTAGCATCCTATCTCACCTGGTGAGGTGCACATCCCGGTCATTTTCACAATTGCCTACATATGGTTGAATCAAGGGGTGGCCAAGGACTGGTCTTTGCACATCCGTACAGCTTTCTCCTCTGTCGGTGGTGCACCTTACTAAACCCTACTGGACCTTGATGGAGCATTGTCTCCCTTCAGTCCCCCCTTCTACCTCCTTTCACAGGCTCAGACAAGAGTCAGGGCATGCTGGCCTTGGCCATCAGTCCCAATCGGCGGTACCTCGCCATCTCCGAGACTGTGCTGGAAAGACCTACCATCACTATTTATGAGCTGTCATCCATCCCTTGCCGGAAGCGCAAAGTCCTGAATAATTTTGACTTCCAAGTTCAAAAGTTTATCAGCATGGCTTTTTCTCCAGACTCCAAATACCTGCTGACACAGACGTCGCCTCCAGAGTCAAACCTCGTCTACTGGCTATGGGAAAAGCAGAAAGTCATGGCCATGATTAGATCTGATGTTCAGAACAACCCCATCTATCAGGTACCCCTAGCATGACACATGTCTTGCCCATTGTAAAGCAGTAAGCGCCGACTTTGTGCCACGGTGCTCATTTCTCCCGTGCATTTTAATGCTGCTTCACAAGAAGCACATAGGTATATGTGGTCATTATCCCATCTTAGAGAGGAGAGGCTCAAGGCTCTACAAGGCCAAGTAGCTCATCCAAGACTGCAGAAGTAGTGAGAGGCAGAACCAGCTATTTCCCAACTCTGTCTTCTGCCTTTTGTGCTTGTCAAAATCTTACTCTCCTTGGTTTCAACCCCTTTGCAGTAGACTTCCAAGCAGACAGAGAATTTCAGGAATGGCATATAAAGTGGTAGAATGGGTTTTGATTTTGTTTAGGAGGGGTGTTATTTTTGGTTTTAGAACAGGTTATGACTACAGAACTCAGTCTAGCCCTGAATTTACGATCTTCCTGACCTCTGCCTCCCAAGTGCTAGGATTAGAGGTGGATGCCACCATGCCCAGAAAAAAAGGAAGATGTGTAAGAAACTGCCAATGAAATTACAGTTGTGTGGAGAACAGAATTTTCTATTGTGATTTCACAACAGAATGAAGACCCACTAGGAAACTGGTTGGTTGCTTAGTCAGGGAGTCCCCGGTTTTTTATCTCTGTCCAGCATCTTGTACTCATTTTCACAAGTTCAAGAAGTCTGCACTGTCCATGTTCCCAGATACAAGCTCATCAGAGCCTTAAGTGTGCGTCATTCGTTCATCTCCCAAAAGGTTGATGTGTGAGCCAGGGCACTACCATATGAAAAACATTCATGTCCCTTCTTCAAACAGAGAATATAAGAGTGTTGACAGTCAAATCACAAAGGCAGGGAGAGCTGAAAAGCTGTTTCATCCAGGCCACAGTGTCCCAGTGATAACCCCTTCTCAGAGCAGAGAGCACCTCCTCTGCAGTAGATCCAGTGAGCATCAATTCGGTGTCCCTATGTACCTAGCCCTAAGGACACAGAGACTCAGCAACAAGGTACCCCAAGTTGCTCTGTCTAGTGAGCACAGCAAGGTTAGCTGCTGTCCGTGTGTATTGGGAGAGTCATCTGGTGGGAGACCACATCATTCCCCCAGTGTGTGCGCTCTCCCCGCTGGATGGGCCTCCATGCACCGGCTCAACCCCATGACTGTTTCCAACTGAACTTCATTCCCTCATGCCGGCTCAGAGTATAGCTCTGAACGCATGAGAGAGCATGTTGATGCATGCCTGGAAACACACCGCTCACGAAGTTGAGACAGGAGGAGTATCTGTTTAAGGCCAACCTGGGCTACAAAAATAAAACAGATTGTTTATTCTACTTTAAAAAAAATGTTGACTGATAGTCCATCCAGTCAATGGAGATGTGTATCTTTATCAAATATAATATAAAATCCCAGGATTTTGTGATATGTACGAGATATGAGCTTCCTAAAGTGAGTATTAACTGGTAAAGTGGGGAATAATTGCATCAAGGGTCATCCTGTCTTTTCTTTTTCTTTTATTTCCTGACATTTTGCAGGTCAGCATCAACCCCCAGGATAATACTCAAGTTTGTGTCACTGGAAGTGGAGTATTTAAGCTTCTCCGCTTTACGGAAGGAACCCTAAAGCAAACCAATTTCCAGAGGGGAGAATCCCCAAACTACCTAGCCCACTCCTGGGTGTCTGATGACAGGCTCATCGTTGGCACTGACACTGGCAAGCTCTTTCTCTTTGAATCTGGAGATCAGCGCTGGGAGACAAGCATCATGGTCAAGGAGCCCACCAGCTCCAGGAGCCTGGAGATCATCCACGAGTCAGAGAGGTAACAGCGCCCTCTGCTGGGCTAGTGCCCACCCTCATGAACTTCTTCCAAGCCTCTCGCTGAGGCTAGAGAGATGACTCCGCAGTTAGGAGAGCACACAGGATTGGTTCCCAGCACCCACATGGCAGCTCACAACCAATCTAAAACATCTGGTGCCCTCTTCTGGTCGCTGAGGGCACCACGCACCGATGCAGTACACTTCTGTACATACAAGCCAGACACCCATTGACATAAAATAAGAACCAACTATGCCTATTGTTTTTGTCTGTTTTGTTTTTCGAGACAGGGTTTCTCTGTATTGCTTTGGAGGTTGTCCTGGAACTCGCGCTGTAGACCAGGCTGGCCTCGAACTCACAGAGATCCACCTGCCTCTGCCTCCCGAGTGCTGGGATTAAAGGAGTGAGGCACCAATGCTTGGCCCAACTATGCCTATTTTGTCCGTTTTAGCATCTGTGTGTATTCAAATACAAACCTGACCGTATGACCATGGCCTACAAACAGGTCTTTTTATTTCTATGCTTAATCTCATTTTATACACAGTTCAGTATGACAAGTCTTCAAAATTTTATTTCAAAAGCATGTTTTCAGTGTCCGGCTGCCTAATTTACTGAATTCATGAAATAAATGCTCTCAGAGCCCTTGTGGTATGCAAGGTGCCTTGCCCTCAGACAGTGACTGTGGAATGGGAAGTTACCATGAGCAAAGAGGGGCAAGGATGAGACTCAGTAGATCTGACAGAAGGTCGTGTGGTAAAGGGAGTATTGGGGAGGGGTGTTCAGTTGCATCTGCACTGTAACAGCAATAGTCGCATCTCACGAACAGCCGAATGTGCTGTGGGATGCGTTAGACACTGCTGTTACAATAAATCTTTCTGCCAAAAGCTGCCTGAGCCCCACCGCCACATGTGAGCTTTACGCCAGCCGCCCGCCCAAGTTAGGCCCAAATGAATACACAGAAACTTGTATTAGGTTCAAAGCTGCTTGGCTAATGACTAGGACTTCTCATCTGCTAGCTCAGTCTTAACTATCATAAATCTATATATAAGACTTACCTTATGGGACGCCTTATTGGCGTCCCTCCTTGCCGGTGGATCACATCATGCCGCTGGAGCAGGAGTGGAGGGGAAAAGAGAGACGCTTCCTGTTCCTCCTTCTTTAAATATGAGTCTCCTTGCTATGTCACTTCCTGCCTGGATCATCACTTCTCTACTACCTTTCCCAGAATCCTTTTTGACTCCTAGTCCTAACTTGCTGTCTCATTGGCCAAACAGTATTTTTATTCAATAATCAATAAAATAAACATACACAGTACATTACCCATCACACTGCTGACAAGCCCACGTGAGTACTGTTCTTCACAGTGTATATCATCATCATGGCAGCTTTCCACACCAGGTGACAGGGGCCTGAGATCTCAGCACTGCTCTATGACAGGACTAGAATTCCATTTCTCTTCTCTCTGAGCCCAGAGCCCAAGCTCCTCTCCACCTGGCACCCCGTGGGCACTTCCTCCTCAGTAACATCTGGTCCCCCATTCCCACATCCCTCCCCATTCTCAGTTGGTACCTCCTTATTTTCTGGCTTGTGAAGGGCTTCCTAAGGAATTATTGATGGAATTGTTTCCCTCTTTACTTGTTACTACTTACTTCAGGTAGCTCAGATTACCCCTTAAATGCCAGCAAATCTTGGAATTTTATAATGACATCTGATGAAGACACATGTCTACATCTGCTATATGCACAGCATTTTGGTGGGTCCATGTCTCCCAGCACAAAGGCCCCTTAGCTCGGTCCAGGCAGGCTGCCCCTCCCCCCTCCTGAAAAGGAACATCAGCTCTCATCTCCGGGTTCCTTGCTTGACCAATGCATTTTCTTGCTGTGGGCTCAGGCGGTGCAGTTCTCTCTGTCTCCTCCCTACCCCAACACATGGACACATGCTCACCCGTTCCTGTTTGCCCTAGAGGGCCTGACTAGAGCACTCGGCCTCTGCTCACCCAAGGCAGGTACACCCCCTTAGTTCCTGCCCTCAGAAAGCCCGCACTGCATGTAGCAAGCTCTTTGTGGCATGCCTAGCTGTCCCTTAACAGTCCTTAGCACATGAGCCCAAGACATGAAGCTTCTGGGGCCAAGGACTGCACTGATCATATTAACTATGGTTTCAGGGAGAAATTAACATTTGTGGGCAGGCATAAATATTTATTGTATGAGTGGATGAATGAAAAGAGAGACCTGGGTTCAAATCTGGGCTCTGCCAGGCAGTTGTATGACCTTCCTATACTCAGTCCCCTGAACCACTTATTTCTAAACAAATGTTAAGAATCACCATCCCGTCTGTCAGGCACACTCACTGTGCTGTGTAGAGTTCCCAAGCCAGCATTTGGCTATGGGAAAGATCAGTGGGTGCATGGCTCACAGCCAAAGATATCCCCCACCTCCTCTCTCAGAGGACAGGGTCTCCTTATGGGCCTACATATTGAAACTGGCTATGTAGAACAGGCTGGCCTCGGACTCACAGAGATCCACCTGCCTCTGCTTCCCTTGTCCTGGAATTAAATTTGCGTGCCAATGTCTGTCTCCTCTGCCCACCCCCCACCAAGAACTTAATGCTTCTCCTTAGGATTGTCTCCAAAAACATTACGTGTTCTTTTCCTTTTCCAGCCTGATCGAATTTCCACAACCCAGCTCCCCGGTCCCCTCTTTTGAACAGATTGTGGCAACCACTTACCCCTCCCACATGACCATGCCCCAAGTATTTGCCATCGCAGCCTATTCAAAGGGATTTGCCTGCTCCGCTGGGCCAGGGAGAGTGCTGCTGTTTGAGAAGGCAACGGAAGAGAAGGACTTTTACCGAGAGAGCAGGGAAATCCGGGTAAGGAGAAAGCAAATGGGATGCGGTGGGGAGGGGCCTTGAAGGTATTGTGCAGCAGCTCTGACAGAGCATTCCCCTAGGGAGAAACAGAGAATGAGAGCACCATCCTGAGGAATTTAGGAGCTGATAAACTGGGTTGGGATTTAAAGGAACAAGATCTGGATTTGATCTTGTTCTGAGGGAATGTGTCAAATTAACCCAGACAGACTTCCTCCCTTAACCCTGGTATTCCACAACCCTTCCATTATTATATCCAGGATATTAAGCACACTGCCCAGCCCACACATTTATGGAATAAATGATACAGAAATGACCTGGACCAGCAGGTTGTTCTTCAATGACAGAGTCCTGAGGGGAAGGACCAGGAGATGAGAAAATAAAGAGGATAGGAAAGTTGGGAGCAGGGGAGTCTTCTGCTGGTGGCTCACGCAGCAAGTTTGTTCAGAGGCACAGCATCTTATATAAAGCTTGCAGGGGGGAAGTGAGAGTCAACAGAAAACCATCATCCAATGGGATGAAGTCAACAGGAAGCAGGTCAAGCAGTATTGCACAAAAGGAATACAGGAGACCTCAAGTGCAGCACAGACCAAGCACTTAACAGCCTTGGGACTGATAACCACAACCCTTGGGGAGGAGGCGGGGTCAAGTTCCCAGGGCCCAGAAAACTGGTCTGGCCCTAGGCCATTACTGACCCTTGGTCAGCATGTACCTGGCTTTAAACAAAGAACTGAGATTTTTCTCCAGACACCAGGGTCCCAGGGAAAGTCTCAGACTGCCCTGGCCCTCAACACAGAAAGCTGTAGAAAATGGATGATACTTAGAGATTTTTTGAAGGTTTTTGTTTTCTGGTGTTTTTGTTTTGTTTTGTTTTGTTCGAGACAGGGTTTCTCTGTGTAGCCCTAGCTGTCCTGGAACTTGCTCTGTAGACCAGGCTGGCCTGGAACTCACAGAGATCTGCCTGTCTCTGCCTCCCGGGTGCTGAGATTAAAGTGCTGGGATAAAAGCACCACCACTGCCTGGCTGAAAATGGATGACATTTGACAAGAGGATATAAACCAGGTGGAGACAACCGCTTAAGCAGAGGCCCCATGGCAGCATAGGGGGAGGCAATAGTGTGTTTAGGACATGTCCTGCTGCTCGTGACACTTGAAAGGAAAAGAGGGGCTCTGTGACCAGTGAATGGTAGCAAATGCTGGTCTGAAACATATTTCAGCAACCCACAAGGATTTGGGGTGGAAAGAAAAATTGATCTGCCCGTGATACATAGGGTCAGACATGAATCTGTCACTTTCTGGCTGAGATGAGCTGCTGAACCTGCCAAAGCTGTGCTTCTCTGTTTGGAGCACCACATGATAACCCCATGAGTGGTGGAGGTGAAGGATGAGACTGGAGGCTGTGGACATCCCCACATACACTGCTGGGTATTCAGTGTTCCAGGAATGGCAGTGGCCACATGGCTATAACCAGGAATCAGTGGAGAGCTTTTTGGTTAGTGTAGCCCAAAACTAGTGAGGCCTAAGATCAGAACCGTGGGTAGCAGGGGCAATGGGAAGAGAGGATGACTTTGTGAAGACTAATTCTAGGTAGAGGTGGGAGGAGTGTTCTCAACAAGGACCCAGAAATGATATCCAGGCTTTGAAGTGGAAAGCTTGGGAAAGAAGGCCAGAAATAGAGAGCCCGGAAAGAACAAGGAGTGTGGGGAGTGAGAAGGCACAGGCTGACGCAGTGAGAGTTTACTTAGCCCATAAAGAAATGTAACAGATATTTACAAAATGTTTACTGGGCCTGGCAGGCTCAGTGTTGGAGGCTGGACACACAGTGGGGAAGTCAACACATGAAGAGCCTAAGCTCAGGACTCAACAAGCAGACAAGCAAAAATGGACAGAGTGTCAGATAAGAACAACACAAGGAAGAAAATACAGCCAGGGAGAAGCCCAGAAGCTAGAGGGGCTCTGTTCCAGAACTGTCTCTCCAAGGAAGGTGGTATTTTATCAGAACTAGAGCAAAGTAAAGTAGCTGGGAATGTGAACTTGGACACGGGCAGGGCAAGCAGTGTGCACACAGAGAAAGAATGCAGTGTGCACACAGAGAAAGAGTGCAGTATGCACACAGAAAAAGAATGCAGCGTGCACACAGAGAAAGAGTGCAGTGTGCACACAGAGAAAGAGTGCCTAGCATGTCCTGACATACACGGCCTACTACCTAGTCCCTAGCACCTTGCTCCTACTGTCTTAAATATCTAGCATTACACTTAGAGATACTACCACTGTTTTCACTGAAACTCCGGTGTTAGGATAGAATCACTAAAAATATAGAAAAAAAAATGGGAGGTTTGAGAGATGTCTCAGTAGACAAAGCTCTTGGTATTTGAGAATAAGGGCCTGAGTTTACATCCCCAGTACCCATACAAAAGGCATGTGCGGTAGTGTGCACCCATAACTAGGTGGAGGCTTCAGTGTTGAGAAGAAACCCCCCCCCATTTCCCTGAGCATTTGTCAGGGAATAAACACAGACTCTCAGACCGTGGTTCTCTGCCTTCCTAATGCTGCAATCCTTTAATACTGTTCCTCGTGTTGTGGTGACCCCCAACCATAAAATTATTTCATTGCTACTTCATAGCTGTAATTTTGCTACTGTTGTGAATCATAATGTAAATATATGATATGTGATCCCAAGAGGGTCACAACCCACAGGTTGAGAACCACTGCTAAGAAACTAAGACCTGAGCAGACTGGCCAATCAGCACATTTGGTCACTAACAGAAGCTAAATAGAGGGGGGAAGGAAACCTAATTTTATTGTGTTTCATTGGGAACAACAGCTCCTCTCCAAGCCTACTGGAGGCAGCAGTGACCCCTTCTTCCTCTACACCTTTTACCCACCCCATATTGTAGAAGGGCCACCACCTGCCTTCGATGTCCTGAAGTACATACAGGTGTGCTGGGTACCAAGTGAGACTGGGCTTCTAACAGGTGGGCGGCTGGAGTGGGTTTAAACAAACGTCCACACTAAGGGATGCCTGGCCGGCTCATTCCCACATGTGCGGCTATCTTACTATTCAGATGCTAGTCGCTGCCAAATGAACAGCTGGTGCTATTTAAAACTGACAGAAGCAGAGACACGCCAGCCATCCCTTCTCCAAGACCTGAGCAAGATCAGGGAAGCAGCATGGTCAGGAGTCTGTGAGCTCAAAGTCCCCCTGGAACCCTTTTAGCCAGGGACTCGCTGACAGTGTGGGATCATTACTGAGA